CGCTACCAGTATGCGGTGTGCTCGTTAGGTGAGGACAAGGATTCTCTTTCATGAGGCAGCTGAGGATACTCGGCACTTGCCATGGCCGAGGAAAGGCCCAGGGAAAGAATCGAGACTGAGAACAACGAACATACTCATTTGAAGGTGACGGGGCAGGATGGTTCTGTGGTGCAGTTTAAGAGGGATACACCGGGACCAGCAGTTAGCATAATGGCTATGTCGCTGGACTCCCACGTAGTCGACCATGGTTCGTGTCCCAGACCTGGTGGCTTAAACTCACGCTGGGCGCGTGTGCGTGCGTGCCCAAGATCCCAAGAGGAGAATGGAGGAGAAGGGATTGCAGCATGGCCATCCCCCCTGGGGGGTGATTTCTTGCTTTCTGTCTCTCTGTCTGGTGAGCGCATGCGCCCTATAGCAAAAAAACCTCTCAAAAAAAGAAAAATTTAAAAAAAAGAGGGATACACCATATAGTAAACTAATGAAAGCCTATTGTGAGTAACGAGATTTGTCAAGGAGGCAGATCAGATTCCAATTTGATGGGCAGCTGGTCAATGGAACAGACACACCTGCACAGTTGGAAATGGAGGATGAAGATACACCTGATGTGTTCCAACAGCAGACAGGGAGTGTCCACTAAAAAGGGCCCCTGCTACTTTACTCCAGTACTCTGTTCTTACAGACCAAGATACATTCTCAATTAGAAAACCACAATTGGTTTCACATCCTGCCTACTACAGTATAGTCTTCTCTATTCTTTCATTTTCCCGCCCCCATTCCTTTATTGTACAAAAGTAACTGGTGTATGTGCACAAGCATATTGCATTTTCTTTTTAATTAAATGGCCAATGGTATGTTTTGATTGACGTCAAATGGAGATGGGATAGGGAAAAATACTGGTTCTGTGAAAATACCCCCTTTCTTGATTAATGGCATGCTCATTCAGCTCTTATGTTTATATTCCAGACAGTTATTTTGTTCTCACTGTTTTAACAAAAAGGGGGAAAAAACACACACAACATAAAAATCCTTGCATACCTGTTTGATTGGAGATTTTTTTTTTTTTTTTTTGAGAGAGATTTTCACTATAGGGCGCGTGCGCTCGCCAGACAGACAGAGAGAGACATAGAGACAGAAAGCGAGAAATCACCCCCCAGGGGGGATGGTCATGCCGCAATCCCTTCTCCTCCATTCTCCTCTCGGGATCATGGGCATGCACGCACACGCGCCCGGCGTGAATTTTAAGCCACCGGGTCCGGGACGCGAACCGCGGTCGACTACGTGGGAGTCCAGCGACATAGCCATTATGCTAACTGCTGGTTCCCTTGATTGGAGAATTTTAATGTTTTTCATTTGTCATTGTAAAACCAATGACAATTTTATAACTTTTTTGTACGTAGCTGTTTCATGTAGGGCAATCTGTCCTTAAGTATGGGTAAATTACTCTTAAAGAAAAAAAAAAAAAAGAATCCTAGATAGTTTTCCCTTCAAGTGTCTTGTTGTTTAAATAAACTTGTTTAAAATGAAAAAAAAAAAAAATCAGCTTGTCAGGGGCCAGCTCTGTAGTGCAACAGTTAAGCCTTGTGCCCAAGCAGCTGGACCCCACATAGCCAAATGTGATTTGAATCCTGGCCCTAGTGGTTTCAGAAGCACACTGAGGATGCTTGCATGCATGCCCAAATTCTCAACGGGATGGAGAAATTAGTGAAAATGGATTGCAGCAGGACCAGGCCCTATTTAGGGTTCTCTCTCTTTCTCTCAAGCTCACTTGTCCTCTGACAATTAAAAAAAAAAAAAATCGTCTTGTCAGAATTAGAAGAGTGAACCCAAAGAGGTTACGTGTTTTATCCTAGACCATTAATTTAGTGGTTGAACCAAAAACGAGGCTCAACTCTTCTAACTGCTGGAAGTCTTTGTCACCATGTAGAGGTGATTATCTTCGCTGTCAAACACAGAACTAATCTATGCATGTGGCACATTGTGGACATGGAGGTTAGACAACCTGGCAGCCTTGTCTCTGGCCTTTCCAGGGTTATTAGCTTAAGGCAGGCAACACTATAAAATGATGAATGCATTGTAGAATACAGTAAGTATCAGAGTGTAGGTGCAAATACTGCCTAATAAATATGCTCCAGGGCATATTTTACAGGTCTGTGCTATGCAGAGAGAGAGGGTAAGGATTCAGTGGGAAAACTTTTATATTTAAAGCACAGGTGGGGGCAGCAAGTGGCATGGTGGTTAGGGTGCTGGGTTCCCACATGGCCAACTGTGGTTTAAGAGCCAGACTTGGTGGCATGAAAATCACAACAAACTGTGGGAAGCTGCACACCAACGAGTCTGCCGAGGTTTCTCAGAGAGCAAACAATTACCATGATTGGTTCCCTTCCAAAAACCTGACCTTCGAAACCTTGCTCTGATTGGCCACTAGAATCCCTCAAATTTGCATATCCGGTACCTCATGATTGGTCCACAAAGCAACCAATCATAACCTACCTTTTGCTATCCTTCATTCAACCAATCACGGTCCACCAATGTGTATATAAGCACGATCTCTGGCCCATAATCGACAGACAACCAGGAAGAGGACGACAACCAGGAGGACAACGACTGAAGAGCCCGAAGAGCTGAAACACTGCGCAGTCTCCAGACGACCTGGGAGACCCTGAAGAGTTGTAACACTACATCGTCTCCAGACGACCCTTAAGAGCTGTGACACTGCGTTGTCTCCGTGCTGCTCACGGTAGATGACACGACCCTTAAGAGTTGTAACACTGCGTCGTCTCCGTGCTGTACCGTGCTGCCCACAATAAACGGACGACACTGTCGTCTCCGTGTTGTAACACCACGCCGCTTGTCCCGGCTCTCACTCCTTCACTCAGGAAACCTGTTTGGCTGCCCCCCCCCTTCCCCCCGGTCGGGACAACAAACAAATAAATAAATGTTTAAAATCAAATAAAAATACAGGTGGACTCAGCATATCAGTATATTATTTAATCCTTTCAAAAACCCTATAAGTTATTACTATTCCTATGTTACCCATGAGAAAAATAGGGTACAAAGGTGAAGAAATTTGCAAATGTCACACAGCTACTAAGAGGCAGGATATGACTCACAGTCAGACACCCATACCCTTGATCATTATGACAATGTATCTCAACCTTGTGAGATTTGCAACTTAGCGAATTCATTAGGAATTTTCTTAATTATATTCCCATTTATACATCCCCTATGACTAAGTGAGTATAAGTGAGGGCATTTTATTTACTATCGTGATGGTTAGTTTTGTGTCCATTTGGCTAGGTTGTAGTACCCAATTATTAAATCACTAACCTAGGTGTTGCTGTGGGTGTCATTGTAGATGTTCATTAATTAAAAAATGTCCTGTTAGGATTGGAAGAGCGAAGCCTAGGGCTAGCAGGTAGCATGGAGGTTAAGACACTGGATTTTCTCACATGGCCAACTGCGTCTTTCAAGTCCCAGACTCTGGTGACTTGAAAATCATGCCGGGCTTGTGGGTATACGTGTCCCAAATCCCGAGAGAATGGAGAAGGGACTGCAACATGGCCATCCCTGCTGGGGGTGATTTCTCATTTTCCCTCTCTCTGCCTCCCTATAGCAAGCATTCTTCCCACTTTAGCAAAACTTGAAAAAAAAAAAAAAGTGAAACTCTTAAAGGTTAAGTATTTTATCCAACATCTATAATCAGTTGACATTAAATTATCCAGTAATCTGTACGGGTCTTATGAGCAAACTGTTTCTCTGACGGAGAAATTCTATGTGTACACTGTAGTGTCAGCTCTTGCTTGACTTCCCAGTCAACTTCTGGCCTACCTTGTGTATTGCAGACTTGCCTAGCCAGACCCCACTACCATGTGAACAAATTCCTAGAGATCTCTCTGTGGATCTCTCTGTGTTACTGTACATGGGTACATCCTACTGGTTATTTCTTTGGTAGAACCCTGATCGATCCAACTGCCATTTAAGATTGCATTACAAATTTATTTTACATCCATTCTTTTTTTTTTTTTTTTTGCCAGCAGGCACATGCACTCACAACAGAGACTTGAGAGGGAAAGCGAGAAAGCATACTCCCAGTGTGATGGCTACACCACAAATCCTTTCTCCTCCATTCTTCTTCTTGGGATTTTGGGCACAAATATACAAGTGCCTGGCATGTTTTCCAAGCTGCCAGATCTGGGACTCAAACTGCGCAGTTGGTTATTGTGGGATCCAGTTACCTTAACTACCCCCCCACCAGTTACCCTTAAACCTAATCTTTGGGACAAGCAGTTCGCCTAATGGCTATGTCACTGAACTCCCACGTAGTCAATCATGGTTAGAGTCCTGAACCTGGTGGCTTAAACTCATGCCAGGCACGTGCACATGTGTGCCTAAGATCCTGAGAGGAAAATGGAGGCAAAAGAATTGAGGCGTGGCCATCCCCCCTGGGGGCTGATTTCTGGATTTCTGTCTCCCTGTCTCTCTCTTTCTGGCAAACACATGTCCCCTATAGCCCCCCCACAAAAAAAAAAAAAAAAAACCTCCAAAAAAAAAGATTGGACAAGTATTAACACATGAATTATGGGTTGTCGGAAAAGTCATGACTTTTTTTTTGTTTTTCTATGCAAAAGTGCATCATGGCTTTTCCAACAACCCATTAGTTTCATGTCTTACGGCATCAAAGGAGACACAATTCTCATGCCATTTGAAATTATTGCATTTTACTTTATAGAAAATGCTTGTTTTTAAAAAATAATTATTTATTCATTCATTCATTTTAATTTGACCAGACACACACACACACACAAGAGAGAGAGAAAGTGAGAAAGCAAGTTGCCACGTCCAGGACTTAAACCATGGTTAGGCATGTGGGAGTGACCAGTGCCTTAACCATCAGGCCACCTGCTAGTCTTGAAAAAGCTTGTTTTTATAATTTTCTATTTTGTTTAGAAATGAGGAAAGGTTCAGACCAGTCTTTATAAGCACTTCTTTTTATTTGAAGCTGTAGGAAGGTTCTAGCTTGATTTTTAAACTGAAATTTTGGCATCCAAGAAATCCCTGATGGTAGGGTAAGACTCTTTCTGAATAGACAGGTATTAAAAATTACACTGCAGGTTTGATACAAGATTCATGGTAACATCAAGCCCCTAAATTTGGCAAAACTGTCATTGTAAACCATATGTGGCTACTGAGCTTTAGGATGTGGCTAGTGAGAATGAGGAACTGAATTTTAAATTTCAATTCATCTTAAATTGTGTATTTCTCTTCTTTCTGATAGGGCATGTGCACACAAGAGCCCCTCCACAGTCTGGTCATTCTGTGGTCCCCTTTCTCCAGTCCTCCATCCCATCAGATCTGGGGCAGGCACTTGCAGTCTGGGGTTTCAGGCGGACCAGGGATTCTACCCTTGGTTCTCCAGCTGGAATCCAGTTTCTCTCAACAGCTAACAGGGCACTAAGGAGCCACCCATTAATTAAATTTAAAATTTAAAAGCTAAATCAAGTAACAAACAAAATAACTCGAGTATGTGAATACTTTTCAATTGTAACGAAATCTAAATACAGATCAGGTTTTTCTGGTGATAATTTTGCATCCAGACATTTGCTCTAAGAGTACAAGGAACATCGCATTTTGAAGACATGATACAGAAAACATGTTCCATGAATAATTCTGTATTGGTTATTGGAATCTGAAAATACGCAGTAAAATCATCATGAAAATACATTTCATCTGGGGCCAGGAGGTGGTGGCGTGGTTAGGGCGCTGGACTCCAGTGACTGATGGTGGTTCCATCCTGGATCTGCAGGCATGAAAATCATTTCGAGCAAGGGCTCAATGAGAGTTTGGGGGTGGGGAGACGATTTTTCACTGTCTCTCTTTGTAGAGCACACGCCCCCTATGGCTAAAACCTAAAAGAAAAATATATATTTCATCAGGTTCACTTTTTAAAAAGTAGTTACCACAAAATTTTAAATTACATATGTAGCTAGGGGACACTACTGACTGAGAGTCTGCCAAATAGTAAACGCCCCAAAATGGTAGTTGTTCGCATCATAAGGATGAGAATTAGTCATCCTGATTATACAGTATTGTATTTGTTTTTGTAAACCCCTCAAGTTCTTCCTGCTACCAGGGCTAGAAAGCATAATTCTGATAACGTGTAAATGGAGGTAGTCGCTGGATTGATTTTCTGAAATTGTCATCTGGGGCTCAGTCACAGCCACAGAAAACAAGAACTGCACCCAATTTTCAGACAGGCCACGCTAGGGCGTGCCCCACCGAGGCTCCCAAGACCTGCGCCGACCTCGCAGCCCAAACGTGTGGCCCTTCCCAGCAGCTTCTCAATTTCACCCTAAAGGAGGAGCGCGTGAGGTTGGCCAAGCTCTGGGGACTCCGGAACTCGCGCTCCGGGTAGGTCTCGAGCGCTCAGTCCCGCCCTAAAGACGACCCGGAGAGGACGCGATGCAGCAGAGTCCGAGGCTCAAGTTCGAGAACCGGAGCGCGCCCAGAGCCCGGCCCGCGCGCAGAGGCCGGAGGCGGACTCCACGCCCCTCTCGCTTCCCGGAGCGGAGTTGATGACGAACACAGAGCGCGACGGACGCACACGCCGTCCCGCGCTCGCACGACGGTACGTGCAGGGAAGCGCTGGGGAGCCCGTGGCCGTCACCGGCGCACCAGCGTCCCGCCTCCTCCGCTCCCGCCACCTCGGCAACTCCGCGCCCGCCTCCCGCCTCCGTCCAAGGCCTCCGCCGCTGCGAGGCTCCCGGCCTCGCTCCTGTCTCTTTAAATGGTGGGGCCAACGGGCCGCCCCTGCAGCTACTGCCTGGGTGGCCCCGCGCGCTGCTCTTGAGGGGCGAACCAAGATGGCGGCGGCTTTGGCTCCGTGAGGAAGACGGAAGAGGCGGCGGCACTGGGGTAGGGAGAGCGACTTCCAGTAGGCACGGGCGCTCGGGCACTGGGAGCCTTCGCAGTCTCCCGGGCAGTGGAGTAGTTGCTGCAGGAGCAGGCGCCAGTCGGCTCCGGACACTCGAAGCAGGGGGAGCGGAGCAGAGCCTCCGGCCGCGGTGGCAGGGCTAGGTACAAGGAAGGAAAACATGGCGGGGGGGGCCTGAGGAGGCGGCGGCGGCGCGGGAAGCAGCTTCGTGGAGACCATGGCGGAGGCGGGAGCAGGGCAGGGACCCGGGCCCGACTCGCTACCGCGGGCGCGC